GGGGGGGGGGGGGGGGGTACTTTTAAGATTTGATTTTTTTTTTTCTTATGTGACCCTGAATGTTCATTCTTGGATTTAACAATGGACAGATGATCTTGCTGCACTTTACAGATCAGTGTCATCCCGAAGCTGTTTATATGCATGCAGAGTGTAATAAGTCAGAGGTTTTGTTGTAAAGGTCAACGAGAGAGTCCGTGACCAGGATTGTTTTTAAGAGAAGAGGGTCGAGCTGCCAAGATAGCTGAAGCAGGTGCCAAACACAAGGTTTTAACCCCTTGCAACCTTTTGACAAGCTGTCAGTGAGCGAGTAATTAAATCAATAGTGGAAGAAAGGATGTCAAGCCACTTTAATACAAGTGTGGCCTGTAAATTCAGATGGACTCTTTGCAGGACAGCTAAGGTTTTGGTGTCTAATACTGTGTTAGTCATATTTTTAACTGTCTTTTTCTGTAGATTCTGCCCACAGTCTCGAACAGAAAAGTGAAAACTAATGGGCTTTTGAGAGGTATTGTAATCACTAGTCAAAGTTAACCAGGTTTGGTTTGAGATGCATAGTAAAGATGCATTGTTCATACAATGCTTATAAGGAAAAAAATAACCCATAATTATTGTGCTATCACTTATTTTAAATATACCTGCTCCTAATTGGCAGATAAAAAGTAAACAAACTGTGATTGATCACTTTATATATCAGTCAAACAATTTCCTCCTTGACAGTTGTTTGCTAGAATAAACTGCAAAGTAGACCCGACAGATGTAGTTAGTCAAAACTTTGGCTCCATCAGACTGCTTTTAGCTGTTATCCGACAAACGGCTCAATTGATTTGCTTAGACAAAGACTTAAGCCGTTTTTAAAATCATGTCCTTTGTTCATGAGAGCCAAATGACTTTAAATATTTAGCTGGAACTCAGCAGACTACAAGTAGTTTCTTTAATCACAAATGTCATTATTCTGCTTGATCAGTGTCAGATTTGATAATGCATCCTGAAATCCCACTTGTCTGCGGCAGATTCGCTTTTAACCAAATTGTGTGATTAGCAGTCAAAATAATAGAATGCTGCTTTCATGAAGAGCAAGCTTTCATTGAATCGCTGTCGCTCTGTCATAAGTCAAATGGGTAGGTTGTCTGCTATTCATGTCTGTTTGATTTATCAGCGGTTCGAGTCACGTCTTCAACAGCCTCTATTGTGAGTCATGCAAATTCTCGGCGATGCAATTCCAGATGGCAATGTCATTGATTGATTTTAGGTTAACAAATGAGTGGAAGGTATAAAAACCTTCACTGAAAACTACTCATCACTGTCCCGTTCAAAGAATAAAGGGATCTGTGTTGTCAAATGGAAGAATGGCTCTCGTTAAGGCTCAAAGCTGCTGCCTGTGACTTATGGGACATAGGCGAAATGAATGTGGTGATCACAGTTAGCAGATCTCGGCAGATTGATGCACTCTTCGACACATAGTTTCAAGGTGTGCATCATTTCATATGTATACCTATTGTGTTATTAATTATTGATGTAGTGTGGCATTTTGATGGCTTGTCAGCATGTGGGTTGGGGTGGGGGGCTGACTTTTCACATTATTTGCAAGATCATATGCATGTGTCACCTGGAGCATTGCACCTGGATGTCTGAGCATCCACTCATGTTGTAGTCATTTGATTTCCCAGCCTGCAGCTAAATGTGTCCTTTTCCATGCAGTTTGTTTGTTGTTCATGTTAAAAAATGATTTGTCACACTTGATAACATTGTGATTATGTGCCTCTCAACTGGTATCATGTTCTGGTCATAGCAAGGTCAGTTCAAGGTCATATATAATGTTTATTTTATAATGACAAGTAATGTCATTATATATATATATATATATATATATATATATATTAAAAATTATATAAAAAATATCATTATATAAATATAAATTTTAATAAATAACTCAGAACTACAAATAATAAAAAAACATAACAAAAAAATTAAGTTATTATTCAGAAATCTATTGCCTGTGAGTATGGTACAATTAATAAAAAGATTTGTCTTTGATTTGTCTTGATTAAAGTCAAGTTGTCAACTTGGAGCTTCACAAGCTGTCTTCTCTAAATAACGTGCATGTGTGATGCCTGTCAAACTGAGTGCCTGCTGATTTTTTTTTTTTCATTTCTGCCAAGTTTTGCTTTATGTGTTTGTCCTCCCAGGCTTCATGGACTCGACCTGAGAAACACAAGGTAGGGCTGCTTCACACGTAGCCAGGATGTTCACTAATCCTAGAGAAGCCCTTTATCACGGCAGAACATCAAGTGTTGGCTCTCTTCTACCCTTAAAATCCAGTAGACACACACACCCACACACATCACATCTGATCAAATGGCATCCCTATAGTCTACAATGATTGTCGTGTCATTTCATTTCTTTATAGCATATTGCTCATTAATTTTCTGGATAGCTTCTGTCAACAGAAATGGTGAAGATCCTATTTGGTCTTTTTTTTTTAAGCTTTTTTTTTTTTCACCTTTCTTAGCAGACCTGTTTTCCTTTACCAATTCCCCTCGGACAAACTTTCTCAAGGGATTGAGGAAGAAAATAAAGAGGGGGTGTTCAAGGGTTGAAACATGCCAGGTACTTCTTTAGAGTATGAGCCAACACTCAGTGTTCTCCCATAGACTCAGACAGGGGAATGTAGCAGCACTAAAGGACACACTAACACATATAACCAACTCCAGAGTCAGACAACACAAGCCTCTGTTAACATAAACATACTAACCCTCACTGAATAAACTCATACGCCACATGTCAGAGATGATTGCAGTAACTTTAAAGTCAATGTAAAACCCATTTTACTTTTATAATGTTGCGCATTTGTGTTAAATAGGACATTTAATGATAAAAAATGTAGGACTGGCCTGTGTTTTATCCATTGGGAGCTGACTGGATTGGAAAAAGCAGGCTGAATGTTTGTTTGTGAAAATATCGCCTGTCAGTTAACATTATAGTGACGTCAATGGAAAGGAAAAGTACATTGTTATTACAGATTACAAAGAAGAAAGCAAATAGGTTAATTTTGATTTCATGTTGACTTAGCTGTAGATGCACAATATGAGCAAGTGATTCCATGCTTGACTCTAAAATGTTAGACTCTCGCTTTATTCATCTGTCAGAGAAATAATTAATCAGTGTCTGCATTGCTGATTAAGAATGATTCAGATGCATATGGATTGTGTGGGAAGGTCTGTTTATCTGATCTGCTGAGATGAAAGGCCACAGTTATGGGATTGCCCACACATCACTTCATGTTTTTAATCCTCAGGAGTACAGATAAAAAGCACCATGGTTCTTTACACGTGCGCTTTTCTTCTGAGTCAAAGACATGGAAATTACTTTATCATAAGTTTTGGAATAATTAAGAGTCTGCAGTACTGAGTTGATACTTTAAACTAAAAATTCAAGATTACAGTACTGACTCCAGTGTTGTGTGACTGACAGGCGGCTGCTTTTCAATGCTCACACGTACTGTGCGTGTGCTCTGTGAAGTGCACTCGTGCCTCGCAGTAACGCTACACGCACGAACGGTCAAATGCTTTTCTTATTTGAAATGCTCATCATGCCGAGGTGTTAATGTAAACACAGTCGGTTATGTCTTTAGTGAATGCAAACAGGTAGAACAAAAAAAATGATATGTGATGTGTTAGAATATGAGATACTTGTGCCTTGAAATGTAAATGGATCTGCCACTGTCTATTACGTTGCTACTACTAATCAGTCATGAATTTTAATAGGAAAAAGAGAAAACCACTCGATGCTCGCAGCTGGATAACTTCCCTCGACAATGCCCTCTACAATCAAACATAAGCACAAAGTTCAGCCTTAAAAAAAACTCTACAGCTCATTTTAATTACAAGCCTGCTTTACACATACAGAATTAAATCAGTTTTAATGGGTTGTATCTAATAATCATGCAAGATTAGGCCAGTCATTTATTTTTCATATATTTTAATAATTAACTTTTTCTTTTTTTTTTCTTTTTTTTAATGAGTGTGTTCTGCCACCAAGATTTCAATATCATTTTATAGATTTTTGTATTCACATATATCTACCATGTAGTATTTAAGAAGTCTCTGATGCTCCATGATGCCTGATGGTGCATTTATTTGATCAAAAATACAGTAAAAACATTAATATTTTGAAAAAAAAATACAATTACAATTTAAAAAGAACTGTTTTCTATTTTAATATATAATTTTCGATGTTGAAAATACTTGTCTTTCTTAATATATATGTATATTTTTGGGACAGCTGTGATAAATTTTTTTTCATTGATGAATGGAACATTTAAAAGAACAGCATTTATTTAAAATGTATTTATTCAATTTTTTTGTAAAATTATTAATGTCTTTACTGTCACTTTTGATCATTTTAATGTCACTGCTGAATAACAGTTCATTTCAATAAAATGCAATGCAAAACCTCTTTAAGATGTACAACATCAACTTTTGAAATGTAAAAATATGGTTTTCATGGAATAGATTCTATTTTATGGAACTGAATTTATTGTGGTCAGAACAATTGCGAATGTGCACACAAATAAGTAAGTGAGTGAAACATTAATTTCTTACTGTGGCATCAATAGTGTTTCTCTTATATAATTCAGTTCAGCAAAAGGGTACAAACAACTTTTTGGTTATTAGTTTATTTAATTTATAAATAAATTCACCATTTTAGATTTTAGACTTTCTGTTTTCTGATCGATCGTTAAAAGATTTGTAAAGATTTGTACATCTCAAGTGGTTTATTCATAAATGTGTTTACTTATAGATGCTGTCCATACCTATATATATATGTAGGTATGTATATACTACAGTATGTGACCTTGACCAAATTCAATTAGCATTCAATCTTGGATCGTCTGGCCAGCTCACTGTCTAGAATGTAACTGCTGCAGAGCAGCTATTTCTCAACATGTCTTGCATCAGTCCAAGATAGGCCATCTTTATCAAAAGTTCAGATTTATTCTCTTCCGCATTTGGACACACTGTGATCCATCTTGTGTGTGCTAGAGTGCTCTTCCAGTTCTTGTTAGCGTGAAATTTGAAGCCCAGGACACCGTTTGACTCGCTTTTCCCAGCAACAGCTTTTTTTCTGACATTGTCTCTTTGTCATTGCAGTCATACAATATGATATCCGTCACCTACTATTTTCTCCCGAGGGAAAAGAAGAAATCCCTTTCTTTCACGCAGGAGAACTTGAATGTGAGCTCTGATTCTGTTCCGCCGTTGGTTGCCTGCTCTTTCAGGAGAAACGGATGGGCAGAATGGGGCTTCCTAAGTTCTCTATTAGGTGAGATAAGATGCGCACAGGCCAGTGATTGCATTTCAGTGCTGAAACCTAAGCCGAAATGTTCTCTGTCTCTCCCTCCCTACTGTTTTCTGCTGAGCTGCAACAGAAGAGGAGGTAGAGGCGCAAAGTGATTTGCCGGAAGCGTTCAAGGTTAACGTTCAAAGAAATTGTGAAGGTTTATGTGCGACCGACCCTACGTACGCACATAAAACAGGAGAGACTCTGCATATGCGGCTTACTGTCAATTACTATGCAACGGGAGGGGACTCGCTCGACAGCCATGCATACTAACAGCCCTCTGAACGTGAGGCACAAGCAGGATGAAATTTATGGTCGAGACCCTGGTTGTTACTTAAAGCACTCAATCCCTCAGATCGTGACTAAGCCACCACACCTTAAATCAAGTTTGTGAATTGATTGGATTTCAGCGCCGCGTACACTCCATTCCGCTCCGCAGTCAAATTTTTCACTGACCATTGAACAGGCACTTTATAAATGAAGTGCCACTGCAGGTTTCAGAAACATCTTATTTCCCGGCTGTCTTCGCACGCTGTCCCCCCGACAATAACTGTGGCACTGATGAAAGGTGCCCCCTAATGTTCACGTTTTGCAGTGCCTTCACTTAAAGAAAAATGTGAATCATACACTGAGCAGTTTGCGTTGCGTTATTCGATTCTCAAAACAGCATCCCATATTTCATTCAGTATGCATGTACATGCAATAGCAACATTGTAGTGCAGGTAAAACAAAGTACGCTTCACTAAGCACGAAAAATGTAGAGCGCATCCGGCTCTCCTGGGCTTATTTTATTCATTCTGCTGCACTGAATACTGCTTGTGAATGTCAACAGTGCTTATTGTTAATATCAGGCTGTGACAGCTACACTTTTTCTCTCTAAATGTCCGTTCGTATTGAATGGGAATGGGTCTCCATGTGGCCGGTGGCTTCAGCACAGGAGTTGTATTTGTTAACTGAGTAATATGGTGTCAGCTGGCATGACTAATAAATCTATTTAAACGTGTCATGGAAGAGGCTGCACTCTCTGATTAACATGGGTCACATTATGCAAGTCAGATTCGCTCAGTCAGTTAATTTTATTGTAAATTACAGAGTGTCATTAATCTGTGGATTTCCGTTTGATTTCTTCTTTTGAAGATCACTAAGTCGAACCCGCATGTGTCAGTCACTAATGTATGGGTAACATGGAGAGTTGACGCAAAAGCTTTTTCAGTTTCATTCACAAGGTGCTTGATTGTAAATGTGTAGCCAATTAAATGGAGAACCAAATAAATATTGTATGTGTATACTGTATATGGAATAATAAATAAAGAATATATTACAAAATATAAAATATTTTGCCTCAAGGTAAAAATTTATGTATGTATGTATATACATACATGCTGTATATACTGCCTCAAGGTATAAAACATAATGTTAAGATCTATTAATTTGCAATAAGATATGGTGAAGGACACATTTATTGATTAAATGAATACCGCTTGAGAGATCTCCATTTTAACCTTGTGGTGCAAAATAAAAGACAAAACCTTCTCCTTGTTTATTATGAATTATATGCATATATTATAAGAAATGTATTGTATATAAGAAAAGTTCAGGATTTAAAACTTTAAAAATGGCAAACTCTTGGAAAAACAAGTTTTCGAATTTTGATTTAAACAAGAATTTTATTTGCGGCATTTTACAGCATCAGTAGGTTCTTTAATAAAAAAAATGTCACTTCATTTTAAATGGTCATGTGATATGGCAAATGAACTTCGAATTGTACAAATATTCCTTGTGGTTTCTCAATTAGCATGAGCTAATAAAAGCTGCATGTTTAAGAAGTAAGGAAGAATTAGCAAAATGCTGTAGAAAATAGTTTGAGTTTTGAGCGTGTATTTTAGCACAGTATTTGAACTTTCCAAAAGTATTTCATGTCAGCTACGCATGTGTAATCACCGGTTAATGATGTGAATTTGCTCCTTTCGGAAGCTGATCTAAAGGGCCTTTTTAGTTGCTTTTGAAAACTAGTGAAACAACCAAGAAAACTAGCAAGAAACGCTTTGAAATGCAAACAACACAGAGCAGTGATGAAAAACATGCTGGCTTTTCATTGTAACAGCTGGAACTAGCATTGATTGCTGAATTCAAAGCCCCCCAACCTTAGGATCTCAGATCACCATAGTAACCAGAGATGGGCAGCAGAGTAAACGCAGTACAAGCTAAAGAGCGGGATGGAGCCAGGGAGTAAACTGTTAGCAGATTGTCCTAGATGTGCTGTGCAAACAGGCTTTGAGGTGAAAAGGCTTTAAAGTGGCCCCTGCTGTGTGGTCCACTTCATTATTGATCCCTGCCTCACTATCTCCTAAAATACCCCCCTGAGCCCCAGACAGAGCCTGAAACACAAAGACATGCCGTCCCTTCGACTGGCGTCTGTAGTTGTGTGCAGGAATGACATTAAAAAAACTGGATTGTTTTCCAACGATGAAATAAAAAATGTCATCATCTGCTCACCCTCATGTCTTTCCAAACCTGTATGACTGACCTAAATTTGTTTTTCACAAGAAAACCTTGACTTGGTTTGATTGAATTATTCTTTTGAGTCACATCTCTTTGGTGAATCAGTTGATTCAGATTCGCAAATGGACGTGTGGATGTGGATGTCAAGATTTTCTTTGAGAATCTTAAATTTAGGTCTGGAACATATAAAAGTCATCAGAATGTAGTCTTTTGTTTTTCATACTCTATAAGAAAGTCATACAGGTTTGCAACTGCATGAGGGTGAATCAATAATGATAATGTTAGTTTCTGTGTAAACTTTCACTATGAGGATCACCTTGTTTCCCTAGCACTAGTATTTAGGTTTAACTTTGAATATACGCTGCCGTTCAAAATTTTGGGATCAGTAAGATTTTAATGTTTTTTAAAGACTTTTCTTCTGCCCATCAAGGCTGCATGATCAAAAATACAGAAAAAAACAATAATATTGTTATTACAATTTAAAATAATGTGTTTTTTTTATTTTAATATACTGTAAAATATCATTTATTCATGTGATGCAAAATTGAATTTTCATTGTCCATTACTCCAGGCTTCAGTGTCATATGATCTTTCAGAAATCATTCTCATATGCTGATTTATTATCAATGTTGGAAACAGTTTTTGCTGCTTAATATTTTTGGAAACTGTGATACTTTTTTCAGGACTATTTGATGAATAAAAAGTTAAAAAAGAACAGCATTTATTCAAAATAGAAATATTTTATTTACCACTTTTTACTAATTTAACAAAACCTTGCTAAATATATATATTAATTTATTTTTTTTAAAAAGACAAAAAATTACTGATGCCAAACATTTGATATTATTACAAAAGATTTATTTTTTAAATAAATGCTGTTCTTTTTTACTTTTTATTCATCAAAGAATCCTGGAAAAAAAATCACAGGTTTCAAAAAATTAATAAGCAGCAAAAACTGTTTCCAATACTGATAATAAATCAGCATGTTAGAATGATTTCTGAAGGATCGTGTGACACTGAAGACTGGAGTAATGATGCTGAAAATTCAGCTTTGTATCACAGGAATAAATTATGCTTTAAAGTATATTAAAATAGTAAAACTTTGTTTTAAATTGCAATAATATATCATACCATTACAGTTTTTTTCTGTATTTTTGATCAAATAAATGCAACTTTGATGAGCATAAGAGGCTACTTAAAAAAAAACATGAAAAATCTTTCTGATCCCAAACTTTTGTATGCTAGTGTACTTGTACACTTGTATTTTACATATATTTTTCTTACTCTCGCTCTCTCTTTCTCTTTTTCTAGAGTCTGGATGGTAACGTGATCGTCCGCAGTGATGCCCGTGTGTCCTCTCTGACTCTAAAATACGTGCAGTTCACCGATGCCGGCCAGTACCTCTGCACTGCCCGCAACTCCATTGGTCAGGACATCCAGAGCATGTACCTGGAAGTGCGCTGTAAGCTAAACCACAAACTTCTCTCTTTGTCATTTGTAGGTTATTTGTCTTGTTGTGTTCAAGGCAAATGTGTCAAAGCTCAATGAAGTGGACAGACTGTGATTTCTCAATGTTCCTTTTGATCTTTGTCAGCTACTAGCTTTTGTTGGCTACTAAAACACCAGGAAATGGATGCTGGACCCAAAAATAAGACCACCAGGCTCTTAACTAACTTAATCATTAAGACCTTATTGTTTGTCAGAAACTAAAGCAGCTAATATTTGCAAGTGAACAGTGAATCCACCAATTAAACCCAGCAGACCTGCATGAACCAGTGTAGAATATTGACAGATGTTATTCATGTTTTTTATGAAACAATCAGTATTTTTTCTTCTTTTTTGTGTATATAGCAAAAGAACAACAGAAATTATTTTTGAAGGAATTGGTGGTTTGAGGGCTTTTTTATGTTTATTTCAAACCAATTAAACTTGCTTTCCACCAAAAGCTCAGTTCAAATCACAGTGCCATATACTCGAATGTGTTTTATAGCTTTTGGGCTTATTTTTTACATTTAGAGCTCTTCATATGAAATGAAATACTGCCATCTTCACATTCTTACAACTCAATTTTGAGAGCAAACGCTTATTTTATCAGATTATGTTTACTGCAGTTGGCTGAGTGCACTTTTGTGCCATTTGCCAGGTAGAGAATTACAGTAAAGCTAGCTAAAGTTATTTTCATCTGCTTGCGCATTTTTAAGCATTCCCACAATCTAATTCAGAAAAGTGGGAGGGAGTGAAGCTTGAAGTGCAATGAAAGTCTAATTGGATTAATTTTTCTTGCCCTAAAAATCTTCTCCCGTTCCTGAGATAGCATCACAATGTGCAATTGATAGAAATTGTGTGGAAATGCAGTTTGCCACAGCCCGGCTTGTGAGTAATCAGCTTCTTGGTTGAGTGCACGGAGCGTTTCGCAGTAATTAGCGATAAGAAAAGGTGCTTTGTCTGCTTCAAATGATCCTAGATGAGATTGTTCACTCCCATGAGTCTCAGACACTTACAGTTTGGGTTAGAGTCTCCCATTCTGTTTTGCATGACTGTACATTGCTTTTATTTCCCACCTTTTACTTCAGGTTTACATTTAAATGCATTTTTTCTTTCGCTTGGTTGTTTATGTGTTGTTTTATTGAAATCAAGCTCAGCCTCATAGTATAAATGAAGTCTCAGGCTGGCAGCCAGTTGGAAAGAGTTTATTCTAGCTATTTGAAATCAGTATCTTTATGCAAACTTTCGCTGTTTACTTGCATCAACATGGTAAGAACGTGTTCTCCTAAAATTACACATTAAATCATAAATGATTTCAAGCCCTAAATTTGCCAATATTCATTTCAGCCACTGCTGTGATAAGATTTCATTGGCCGTTTCATCCAGAAGAGAGACATTATGTTTTGGGGTGCCGACATTATCTCGGCAGCAGTGTTGCAGCCTGTGGTCCTGAGATAGCGATAAGATTTGAGTGGATATGTGTCTTATCAGACCAGCTTTATGGGAAATGTGATGACTCAACTGCATGTATCAATCCTGGAGTGGAAAGTCTAGTTAGCCGAAGTGAACATCAGGGAGGCAACAATCACAACAGACAATAGAGCAGATATCAGAAATTGCAATTCTGAAAGGGAGATGATGGGTAATGTATACCAGCTGGAAGCCGGGGTATTTTTTGCCCCTCTTTCTCTGGAACAGTCCATGTGTTGGTTGCACTTGGCTGACACTGTGTTTAATTACAGATGCTCCAAAGATCCAAGGCCCTGCGGCGGTGTTCACCTGGGAGGGTAATCCGGCTAACATCACCTGCGAGGCCCTCGCTCACCCGGGCGCCTCCGTTTCGTGGTTCCGTGACGGCCAGCTGTTGCCTAGCGCTAATACCACCAACGTCAAGATCTACAACACTCCTGCTGCCAGCTTCCTGGAGGTACGGCATCACCGCTCAAACCCATCAGCCTTTAGATGCCCCCTCATTAAAGTTTCAACACCAAAGTCGTGTTTGACACTAATAATTGCCTTCTGAGCTCTTTTTTAGTATACTTCAGCACGCTGTAGCATTTGATATTAAATCATAGCTGTCGATACTGCATTGAGAAAACACAGTAATTATAGTTTTTTCTTTCCAGTAACCTATGTTCTTCATTTATGTACAAAATAGAGCTGATACACACATATACCCACCCTTATCAGCCCACAAGTGCTGAGAATATAATGACTTGTTTTTATTGTGTTGTAGAATAATTCATGTCATTTTAGTTCTCCACTCGCTTGACTTTTTGATTTTGTTTTCGTATTACAAAATCATCAATTACGATAATTAAGTTGCTTTCTGTAAAACGATGCATTGTGAATGACCCGCATGGATCATATTGTTTTTGGAGTCTTGCAAAAGCACAGATTATGATGTTTAATTTGTTGCATCTAAGTACAAAAAAAATATTACATTTTGTGAAATTTTGTTTCATTTGAAAGCAAACCGTAGAAACCATTTGAGTTCAAATCACAGCATTATGAGCTTTCTATATTATAGTAAATTTGCATCTGAACAAATTGACTTTTTAATACCACACAAAGTCTGCATAAAATTTGAATAGCAGGAAATTGATTATTGATGATTATTGAGCACAGCTAATCAAATACAGTATTCACATATTTACATGATGTAGCAGAGATGAAGCAAAGATGCTCCAGGATCCTTTTTCAGTTTACATGTGTGTCCTGGCAATTTGCTAATACAATAAGGCAAGAGGCAGAAAGTATTTTGAATATTTGTGACCCTGGACCACAAACCCAGCCATAAGGGTCAATTTTTTTGAAACTGAGATTTATACATTATCAGAAAGCTGAATAAATAAGCTTTTCACTGATGTATGATTATTAGGATAGGACAATAATTGGCCGAGATACAACTACTGAAAATCTGGAATCTGAGGGTGCAAAAAAAATTAGCCATTGTCCAAATGAGGTTCTTAGCAAATGAATATTACTAATGAATAATTAGGTTTTGATATATTTACGTTAGGAAATTATTCGATAATTTTGACCCATACAATGTATTGTTGGCTATTGCTACAAATATACTTGTGCGACTTATGACTGGTTTTGTGGTCCAGGGTCACATTTATTTCTTGCAAGAAATGGTCAACTGTCATACAGATTGGCTGCAGAGTGCGACCAAGAAAAAAATGTCTTGACTCAGTATTTATACCCTAATCAAACCAGGATGCTTCTATCTCATCCAATCTTAATGCATATTCAACATATGTGTTTATCTAAGGTATCCAACTATGTCCCCTAGATGCGTTTCTAAGTATTTAGTGCAAATAATTTTCTTAGAAACCAGGATGTAGGGTCTCTAAAATAGCGCTGCTTGTCTACACAGACATTTCATACATTTCCTGTTGTTGTTTTAGCACATCAAAATAACTCCAGCATACCGATGAAGCATTCAGAGAGTATAAAGAACACTCTTTAGTAGAGTAAAGCAAATAATAATAACATTTCCCCAACAATGTGTTTTAGAACATTGTAGGAATCCTTTTTAGATCAGAACCCCATTCTAGAAATGCTTTCCTTTGTCAAAATCTAATATTTACAGATTTTAAGCAATATTCAACACTAAACTGTTGTTGACTCATTAGACCCTCAGATTTACACTTTCTAAATGACATAAATCAGCAATATTCTTGCACATGATGTCACCACTTGTGGGCGGGGCTTCGTCTCGTGGTTCTCAGTGAGGGGGCTTTAAATATGCAGTTCAGCACTGCATGAGAGGTTGTTTTTGACTGTTCTGTGAAGCTTGAAATGTTCTCTGTCACTGTCCCTGTTCCCATGGCACATTTTACTAAGCTGTTGGAGCTAATGGAGACAATACACTTCCATTCTTTTTCACTCTCTCTGTCATTCAATAATTATCGAGCGAGGTGAATGCCAGTGGTGCAGAATAGGAGGTCACTGTCATTGCCATGGCAATGAGCTTCCCTTAACCAGCTAATGTCTATGTCATGCTAGCTAGGTCAGAAGAGAGGCGGCGCCTTGACGTGGCTTTTTTTTTTTTTCTGACAGGTCACCCCGGAGTCCCAGAATGACTTTGGCAGTTACAACTGTACGGCTACCAATGTCATCGGCACAGAGTCAAAGGAATTCATTTTGGTTCAAGCAGGTTTGTGAATGTTTAGAGAATGATGTACAAAAATAGCAACTACTTTACATTTATGGTGAACATGAATCAAGCACAAATTGTCATTCAAAGGTTCTAATTAGCTATTCACACATCCTTTCTCACAAATGGTGTTTTAACACAGAAAAAACACTTCTAAAATCCCCCTTGGTACCAATTCATAATCCACCAGGTATGCGAAAGGTAAATCTCCCCAAGACAGAGATGTTTTAGCTCCAGATCAGAGCCTGCGCTCATATTTTTTAGGCTGAGACTCTTGGGTAATAAAAACAGCAGGGTATAATTTTCAGGCTGCAGATTCGACGGTTAAATGCGACGCTTCCTCTGATATTTTTGGTGCTCTGTAAAGTGGGGCAGATGTGAAATGGTGTGGAAGGCAGTGAGGTGATTATTTAGTCTCAATGCGATGAGACGGTGCAGGAGTGACGCCTTTTTTCCTCACAGGCTTTCCACCACACTTTTTATTGTGCAATAAAGTCTAATTTCTTTAAAAGCGAGTTTTACTGAGTAAGTGTGTTCTGTGAGGGAAGGCAGGTCATTTTATATATATATATATATAAATGTATTTTCCCCCCGAGGATGAATTATGTTGTTGTAAACCTTTTTGTAACAAAAAGCTATTTTTTATCACAGTTCTGACTGAACAGAAGGTTTATTTTTTGCTACTGTGCCTTTAAGACTTCTATAAAAACACATGTTTTGCATGGGAAATGAGAAGACGTGTGCTGTGGGTTTGCTGTTTGCATTCAATACAGTCTATAGATGACTCATCCTTCGAAAACAGCTTCTTTGCAAAGCCTTCATTACATTCTAACAGGATTATGAAACAATCCAAGCTGAAATGAAATGTTAAGATCTTAATAAGGACTTAAATGATCAGGAAGCTGGTCACAAATAAATATCAGATTCGTGTTTCTAATTTTGGGGTCCCTCGGGAGAATATACAAATGGAAGATACACTCAGGGCCAGCTCAAGTTTTGGCAAACTTTCCATTATTTAAAGGAGAATGTGAAATTTTGGTGCCTCTAGTGGCACCAAACAGAACTGCAGACTGTTTGGAGGAGCGTTTGAAACTTGTTTGAAAACTGTAATTTTCTTATTGATGTATCTGTCTGATATCCAAAGGTTGGAGAAAGTTAGAACAAGCCATTTTTGCAGCTTTCTGAAAGTTACAGTATGTTTTCATAGTACATCAAACTCTTTCATCTCAGAAGTTCAAGGAAAATTTGATTCCTCATGATATGACCACTTTAAACAATATCTTGGTTTGTCTGAAAGATATTTTACTCATGCTTCAGGGAAAAACTGTACTGGCCACCGCAATAACAGTTCCCTTGGGGAACCATTCCCCAAGCCCATAACAATTTTTCATTGTTTCAGTTTGTCTATTGCCTCACTCACATTTTTGTGGTGCCCTGCATGTGTGTGCGGAGCAGTACGCCAGATATCTTCCTGTGTGTGCTTATAAGTACGTGTGTGTGTTCTCTAGATGTGCCTTCGGCCCCCTCTATCGAGCGTGTGGAGCCGTATTCCAGCACAGCAGTGGTGGAGTTTGATGAGCCTGCCTCCAGTGGAGGAGTGCCTATTCTCAAGTACAAGGCTGAATGGAGGATAGCAGGCCAAGACTGGACTGACAGAGAGTATGAAGTTGAGGATGGTAAGTATCCAACACACACACACACTGTAATAACATTTATTCAGAACTAGAAGCAATGAAGAGAGAAAACAAGATAAATGAGGCTTTTGGGAGGCTATAAAAGCTTTTCCTCATTTGTGTGAAGGTCAAGCTCTTGTTTTTATAGCATTGTTTTATACTGAAATGACCACCGATTCTCAGATGATTGTATTAGAGCAAGGATTTTAACTGAGTTATATTGTTTTAGTGCAACTGTTTTTAAAAACACTGTCCTAAAGCAGACGTGATGCGGCAAGATTCCAGCGACAAGCAATTTTTCTGTCTGTGCTGAAAGCAAAAATATAAAACCACAGCCAATCAGAACAGTGTGTGATTGCACTTGCAACACACTGCGTAGTGTAATCCAGATGGCCCTTTTATGGTTTTCCTCGAGGAACTTAGGGAAATTGTACCGAAGCTTGTTTCCGCCTCAGAGTAAAAAAGAAAAAAAGAAAGTTATAAATAAGAAATAGGCACATATGAAGTCACACTGTACAATATAAATTCTCAATTCCGAGGTATAAAGTCACATTTGCGAGATATAAAGTCATATTATGGTATGTAAAGTCACAATTATGAGTAATAAAGTCACATTTGCGAGATATAAAGTCATATTATGATATATAAGGTCACAATTATGAGTAATAAAGTTACGTTTGCAAGATATATTATCATATTATTGTATATAAAGTCAATTATTAGTAACAAAGTCGCAATTGCGAGATGTAAAATCATATTATGGTATATAAAGTCAATTATGAGTAACAAAGTCGCAATTGCGAGATATAAAGTCATATTATGGTATATAAAGTCACAATTATGAGTAATAAAGTCACATTTGCGAGAAATAAAATCATATTATGGTATATAAAGTCAATTTTGAGTAACAAATTTGCAATTGTGAGATATAAACTCATATTATGGCATATAAAGTCATAATTTTGAGTAACAAATTTGCAATTGTGAGATATAAACTCATATTATGGCATATAAAGTCACAATGATGAGTAGGCCTAACAAAGTTGGAATTGGTAGATATGAAGTCACATTATAAGATATAAATTTACAATTAGGAGTAACAAAGTTGCAATTGTGAGATATAAAGTCATATTATGGCATATAAAGTCACAATGATGAGTAGGCCTAACAAAGTTGGAATTGGTAGATATGAAGTCACATTATAAGATATACATTTACAGTTATGAGTAACAAAGTTGCAATTGTGAGATATATTGTAAATTCACATCACAAAATACAAAGTCACAATTATGAGTAACAAAGTCGCAATTGGTACAATAGATATAAAATCACATTATGAGATATAAGTTCACGATTATTAGTAGCTAAGTTGCAATTGTGAGATATAAATTAACATTGCAAAATACAGTCACATTTCAGTTATGAGCAACAAACTCGCAATTGCTAGATATAGAATCACATTGCTAAATATTACAAGAAAAAGTTGCAATGGCCAAGTATATTGGGATATGGTGACATTTAAGGTATAAGGGCACAGTTATGATAAAGCTGCAATTACATTAAATTTGTAATCAAGAAAAAGTTGCAACTGTGAGATAAAGTTACAAATTAACTTCGCTCTCAGGCAGAAATGGCCTTCTTTAGTTTTGTCATTTGATAGCAGATGTTTCTTAAATGCCACAGTTAGTCTCTCTGCGGTTTGTCCATGTTTGAGGTTTAGCATACATGAGGAGCTGAATTTTGGTGCAGTGAGGTTTCATTGTGTGCATCTTACAGCATGTAGTGTTGCTTGTCACCGTTGCAGCTGGTTAAGACAGAAATTTTGATTAACACGGAAGAGCTTTTATTGCTTGTCACTTTGTTGCTTCTCGCCTAGTTAAGATGCTGTATTACACTTTAAGAAGTAAACAGCAGCGTCTATGATGCACATAGAGCCACCCTCCCATAGTCAATATAACAACTAAACACTTTCCACAGCTGCTAGCCATTTCAAATTGTGGCAAAATAACCTTCCCCACTGCCATAAAAACTCTTTCATTGGCCATATTGCTTGGCAAGCATGAAATGCGAAGCGGAGTTGACCAAAAATAGAATGCGCAAATGTAGGAAAGGGACAGGGTTCACTTGAATGCTAAATAAGAGTGCTCCAAGCAGTTGTCACAGCCTGACATGTGCTCTGTTTGTCTGTGGGTACTGTCTGTCTCTCAGGGTGGGGGGGGAGATGTCAGTTTGCTCACTGCTGACAGCCTGCTCGCTCTGCCAGACCTCCTTGGGACATGCGTCAGAACAAACCTCACACACACACAAACGCAGCCTTTCACGAAGCAGTCTACCAGCCACCTACACACACACACACACACACACAAACCCCTGCTCAGCCAATGGCTTTTTGATCACTCAACCTTTTGTCAGTGAGTCTCTAATGCATTAGATTGGCATATGATAGTCATGCAGCAGACTCGAACACAAGGTACCAGATTGAAAGAGTACAAACAAAATCACAAACAGCACAAATTTGAGAACATTTGGAATTAAATTGTAAGGTGGTTTGATATGATGGAAAACAGCATTTCATATCTATAACCTAAATGAAAACATAGTGATAAACAGCAAATTAATATTGAACTAAAGTGTATTTTGCTGAAGCAATATCACACAAGAAAGAGTGCTGTTGTTTTATAAACAGTTTAGTATATATTCAAAAGATATATATTTTAAGAAATTCATTATTTTATTCAGCAAGGATGCATTAAATTGATCAAAAGTTACAGTAAAGACATTTCTGTGTTACACAAGATTTAGAGATTCTTTTGAACTTTATATTTGTTAAAGAATACTGAAAAATTTATTACTTTTTCCACAAAAATATACTGTTTTCAACTGTTATTTTTTATAATAAAAATAAATGTTTCTTAAGCACCAAATCACCATAATTAGAACGATTTCTGAAGAATCATGTGACACTGAAGACTGGAGTAAAGACTACTGAAAATTCAGCTTTGCTATCACAGGAATAATATAAAATATATATAAAAAATAAAAAAAATATATATACACATACATACATATATTGTAACAGGGTGAAGAATCACACGACAAGAAATCTCAATTCTAATGCATTAGATTGGCATATGATAGTCATGCAGCAGACTCGAACACAAGGTACCAGATTGAAAGAGTACAAACAAAATCACAAACAGCACAAATTTGAGAACATTTGGAATTAAATTGTAAGGTGGTTTGATATGATGGAAAACAGCATTTCATATCTATAACCTAAATGAAAACATAGTGATAAACAGCAAATTAATATTGAACTAAAGTGTATTTTGCTGAAGCAATATCACACAAGAAAGAGTGCTGTTGTTTTATAAACAGTTTAGTATATATTCAAAAGATATATATTTTAAGAAATTCATTATTTTATTCAGCAAGGATGCATTAAATTGATCAAAAGTTACAGTAAAGACATTTCTGTGTTACACAAGATTTAGAGATTCTTTTGAACTTTATATTTGTTAAAGAATACTGAAATTTATTACTTTTTCCACAAAAATATACTGTTTTCAACTGTTATTTTTTATAATAAAAATAAATGTTTCTTAAGCACCAAATCACCATAATTAGAACGATTTCTGAAGAATCATGTGACACTGAAGACTGGAGTAAAGACTACTGAAAATTCAGCTTTGCTATCACAGGAATAATATAAAATATATATAAAAAATAAAAAAAATATATATACACATACATACATATATTGTAACAGGGTGAAGAATCACACGACAAGAAATCTCAATCTATAGCCCGGAGGGTAGATTTATTGGGGTGAGGGGTACTAGTGAGAAAGGTCCAGGTAGGTGCTCCAGTGCCGTGAGTGCTCTCTTCCGTCTTCCCAGTGCAGAGGGTCCGTACAGTGCTCCTGTGGGGCTGGTCGGTCATACGCTGCTTTCTGTGGAGAAAATGAGAGGGCGATTTAGTGCTCAGTCTCATGGAGGAATCTCCTAGATGGCAGGGCTTGCGTGGCTTATGTAGCCGCTGCCTGATGAGGTGCAGCTGTGACCGATCAGCCTGTGATGATGATGGCCAGGTGCTCCTCACTTGTTTCCAGGGCGACGCTGATGAAGCCTCGGGACGCTCGTCACAATATATACATATATATTACTGTTACAACTGATTGTTTATCAAATAAATGCACCCTTGGTGTGAATGAAAGACTTGAAACACTAAACTTTTGAATACTAGTGTAAGTTAATATAAAATAATTCACATTTTAGACAAAGGTGGCCAGTTATTTTGTTTACTTTTGTTCTGCCGAAGAAAATTGTTTCAAACGAACCCAAAGTAGGGCATCTGGAACAACACCAAGAAATATCAGTACTCTTGTCCAATGAAATTAGATGACAAAAACTAATGGTTGTATAATACAAATGCTACATAGGGACCTCTGGGAAAACCTCTGAGTGATGGCTCTAATTGGAGGATCGTTTCTGGATCAAACTAAAATGTGTTTTACTACAAACATAAAACTCACAATTCTTTGCAGGGTCTTCTGGGAAAACATCTGAGTGATGACTAGGCTCACACAAAATCTGTGCCCACAGTACTAATCGTTTATGCCTTTTTTTCTCACTATATCTAAAAACATTCTGCACATTTTCCCTTAAAACCTGGATTCTTTTTTTTTTTTTAAGATTTATTTTTGGTGTTTTTCGATTTTTATTTGTATAGGACAGTGTAGAAGTGACAGAAAGGGAAGTGGGAGAGAAAAAACCTGAATTCTTTTAACTGTTTGTTCAGACAAATTGTTTCAAACAAACCAGTTCTCTATAATTCCAAAGGTCATGTGTTGTGATAATATGTGCAATTTGATTATATGCATGTCATATCCATCAGTTTTTGAAAGGTTTTGGATATGCTTTGTTAAAACCAGACATATTTTATCATCTAATTCCATGTTTTTACATCAGATATTTTATTGGAGCTCTAAATCTGTCTAAACCAGGTCTCAACTTGATCACCATTGTTGGGCTGAAGCCAGAGACCACGTATGAGGTCAAGATATCAGCCATCAACGGCAAGGGTGAAGGAGAAAGCAGCCCCCCTGAGAGCTTTAAAACCCAACCTGTTCGTAAGTGCTTCTCTCTTTCAGTCCCTCTTTATCATATGACCCTATAGTGCTCTCTTTACGCATCAACCCCCCCTCCTCAGTGCAGCAGCAGACCTCACTACCCACAATGCATCCCTGCCTTGGACCCTGCTGGATCTCTCTCCCAGGAGATGCATTGCTTGTCCTCTGCGTGTGCTTCCGTATTTATATGTGGATGTGTGTGTTCATTTAAGTCTGTGTCCATGTGTTTAAACAATTTCCTGAAGGCCATCGTGTGTCACTGCAGCCTCTCACCTCAGCAGTGCTTCCCAGTGATGTGGCGCTCCTCCCCGTCCTTACGACTCTTCTGCCGATGCCTGCATGTGCCAGGCAACAGCTGTGTCTCGTGTCTACTGAGAGCTGTGTGCTCTGTTAAGTGTTGTCCGTGTTGATTGGGCACTCTTTTGTAGAGTAGATAATGAAACCCTCTTTAACCTCATATCCACGATCATATCAGGATTAGACTCTCAGAAATTGTAATATCAATAATAAGATCTAATCTTCATGAAGCTGGAATATTTTGCATAGATACTTTCGCATTTGTACAACAGTATCATTTGAAGATAATTCTAGATGATTTTTCTCATGCTTAAGTAGAACTAGTTTTATTGCTTTCGCTCTAATGTACACTAGGTGTGCGATGAATGTAAGCCTGTTTCTGCCTTAAATTAAAATAATAATGACCTTATTTCTACATTTTTAATATAATTGCCATTTTATATCTTATAAATGTGAATTTCTTTATAATTGTACATTTATAATCTCATAATTACGACTATTTATCATAATTGCAACATTAAATATCAATTGTAACTTTATAGCTCACAATTGATTGTGACTTTCGTTTTTTATAATTGTAACATTAAATCTCAGTTGTAGCTTTATAGCTCACAATTGATTGTGACTTTCGTTTTTTATAATTGTAACATTAAATCTCAATTTTGGCTTTAAGGCTCACAATTTTGACGCATAATTGTGGCCTTGTATCTCACAATTCAGACTTTTTAATGAATGTTTTAATTGCAATGTTCTAAACTTTATACCCCAGTAATTGCTATGTTATAGCTCATAATTATGACTTCGCTTTCATAATTGTAGCATTAAATCTCAATCTTACAATTGCGAGTTTGTCATAATTGCAACTTTATAAAGGTATATCATAAATATATCAATTGTGACTTTATATCTCACAATTAGGACTAATTACCTTGTGTTTACGATTATATATTCAAAATTGCAATTTTTATAACTCATAATTGGAACTTTATATATCACTTTTTTAGTACTTTTAACAAATTTTTGGCACTCAGGTGGAAACAGGCTTCCATAGCTATATGAAAGTGAAGTGAGGTGAAATTTGAGGTTGGTTTGATGTGTTTGATTAACTCTGCGTTGTGGAGCTCTCCACATTAATGAAACATCATCCATATTTAGACTTCGCAATGTAGTTTTCAAAATTCCTACAAATCTACTGGTTTAATTACTGCATGTCACACAAAGCCGTTGGCTCAGAATGTTCCACTTAGAAAGCAGATTATAAAAGTCAGTTTGCAAGAAATGTGGGATGAGCAGAAACACAGTTCTAGTTTGATTATTCAATTTCCTTCTGCACTCGCAGGGATTAAGTGACTAAAGTTTAAAGTTCCTTGTCGCTTTATTAATCCAATTTATTCAATTGATTCAAAAGCACTTTGTAATAACATTACAAAAAAAAAAAAAAAAGCAGTCTCACGGCAATAAGCTTGATTTCCATTTGAATACCCAGAAGATTTGGGGGAATCCTACAGAAATGGGTAAAAAGCTAAAATAACACAAAACAAGACTTGTTTATTCTCCTTTTGGATGTACAATAGCTCATGGCAGGAGTGAATTGCTCCATTGATGTAAGTCAGAGACAGGCTGACATGAATTCTTATCTTACTTTTCTTATCATGTTTCATCTTTGCTTCAGCACCCTGTGTTTTCACAGTCCCCACATTCACTCTCTCGCCTGCACTCATTTCACAACAGCTAATTGGGTCACCCAGTTTTGCCATTTTGGGACTTAACTAGCCATTCACACAGTATATTCTGGCCAAATGTGAGTCAGCAAGGTGATTTTCTCACCGCTTTATAAGATGAACCCCAAAATGGCAAGTTGGCATTGGCTTCCAATTTATTCATTCCTGTTCTCATATTCACTGCTTTTTATGGTTCTCATCATGTTTTCCATCTTGTTTTGTTCCACTGGACATCAGGCTCCCCTTTCAAAAGTAAGTGTTCCATCTCTCTGCTCTCTTTCTTTCGTATTTCTGTTTGTTTTTCCATTTGCTTCCATTTCAGCCATTGCAACACTCCTGCCAAATCTACTAGTAAGTCTTCAGAGAAGATAGTAAAAGCTTGAATAGAAAGTTAAAGGCTCCATGAAATGGGTTATATAGTGCAGATTTCTTTCCTGCATTTGATGGAAGTTGAAAGGACTCGTCCTTTTTTAAATAGCCAATAGGCTGTTACAGTACTTCACAGTCATGAACAGTGGACTTTGAGAGAAATTGCATTTATAATTTACTGAGAGAGCACAGTTTCTTACTAGAGAGCATTTGATTGGACAAAACAAAATTTGGCATATAGATATGGACATGGATTCATGGATTTCATGAGGCCTTTAAATAAAAATGTACTGAGAATAAATATTTTTGCTTCAAGTGGACTCTCATATCTCTGCAAAAATTAAGTGAAACTTTCTGGGGGGGGTTAACTGAATTTAAAACTCTTCGCAATAGCCTGTGCTTTAAAGTACTGTGGCGACTCACAACACTGTATATCTGTTGTTGTACTTTCCAAATGGAATTCCATTCTATTACTCAAACAAGGATCAAGGTTTGCTATAAGATCATTTAGACCAGTACATTTTCTTTCCTTCCAGTCCTGGAGGCTCAATTGAGAAAATTACTTTATATCCAAAACCTACAGTAAATACGCACCTGGTTCAACTCAATTATGCTACATGGAGCAATTAACACTTGATTAATTGAATCAGACGTGTTAGGTCATGGCTTGAAATGAACATTTGTCTAGGCTCCCTGGGGTCTGTTGATGAAAAGCCACCGTTTAAACGTATATGCTTGCTTCTTAGTATAAAAAATGGTAATTGGCAGGGGCGTGTCTAGAGCATTTTAAATGGGGGTCCAGTCTGGGTCACTACCTCAAAGGAGGGTGTATACACGATGTTAATAATATATTAATTGCGCAGTGTGAGATTCATTGGTAACAGAACTTTGTGAGATCGCGATGAACAAAGAGTGACAGCTTTTTAGTGGTTATGAGCGCTCTTTGCGAGCTTTCTAGGCAATCAATTTAAAATGTAGAACGTGTTTTGGACACACGTTGCAAAATTTCGGGAATGACATCTGTATATTTATGCAGGATTCGCTCTCGAAGTAGCAGTGTTTGACATGGTGATAACCATAGCAATAGACGAGACAAAATATGTGAAAATGTGCATTAAGACTAGAGCACCCTCACTAATTTCAGAAGCACCCTCAGTGATTATTTCTGGAACCTCGTTGATACACTTTTGTTGTATAACTATATACAAAAACAACAAAATACAAATGTACTAAATAAAATAATTTAATAAATGCATATTTACAATTTAAGCACTTAACTAAAAGAAGTATTAATAAAATAAATAACTAGAAAAGGCTGACTATATTCAGCTTGCTTCCATTTATTGAGAAATGCCTACTCTTCACCTGAATTAGAAAAAAAGCTCCTCTGGTCTTCAGTGATGCGAGGACAACGTTTGAGCATACATGTAATATCTGTGTGAGAGCAGAGCCAATTCATAAAAGAACAATGCATATTTAAAAGCACACATCCAGTTTTGTGGGAGTGAAGGAAATCTGCTTGCGAGTGAAGATTCGTGCTCGCACATTTGGCCTACATGGATCACGTCACATTATGCGCTCTCGACATTGTCATTAAGATCGCGCTATAGAAGCCGCCTAAAATTAAGTATAAATAGGAGAAGAAAGCAGTCCTAGGCAGCTGCCTACACATGCCAGGATGCGCCACTGCCAGATTCAGTTAGAAATTTACTAAAAACAAGTCTATCGCAAGACATCTGGTGGGGGGGGGGGCACCTGTCACCACGTAGACACGCCCCTGGTCATTGGTATGTAGATTCCCCTTTAATTTGCAGTTATCTCTCCATTTTAATTCACAGTACTACACATAAAATCCACAGAAGTCTCAAAACAAGCTATTTATTTGACACTCATAGGATAGTCACAACCTCGTTGGCTAATGTTGGTGTTTAAAGGGGTCCTATTATGCTTTTTCACTTTTTCAACTTTAGTTAGTCTGTAATGTTGCTGTTTGAGCATAAAAAATATCTGCAAAGTTACAAAGCTCAAAGTCCAATTTAAAAGGAGATATTTTATTTAACAGAAATCACTTTTCAAAAACTACAACGAACGACTCGTTTGGACTACAATGCAGACTTTGTAAAAGAGCATAATAGGACCCCTTTAATTCATAGTTTGTGTGAGGGTGATTGCTTTGCAAAAAAGCAATTTTAAAACAGTCGAACTGTAGAATGACTATTGTTTGTTTATGCAATATTGTTTGTTTATGCAACAAAAAGCAAATAACAATGTGATGATGCTGTTGCTAATTTAATTGCCGTATTTTCTTGTTGTGGCTCTCTATTGTTCTCATTATCCCTGACAGGGATCGTTTGGCTGTGGAAGCTTTCTCATGATCATTACACAGCGGAATAAAAAAGAGGCGATGGTCGAGGCAGAGACTGTATCTCGTAATGGTAGTGTGATGTGGTCGTGTTCAGATGAGATTGATGGCGTTGTCCGCTCTTTTTCTCTGGAACTATACCTGCGTGAATTTAAGAGGTGATTGGCGGGACAATGATCCAGGCGCTTCAAACACTTACTGATCATTTATCAATTTGTACATGACAAAGTAAGACCGCCGGCAGCATCGACACTTGTCAAATTATGGCTTTGCAAATCTGGTGACAGTTTATTTGTTTCGAGCTTCCAAACCAAAGCGTAAATGACTTCTGTTGCAATTCTTCAGAAACTTCAGAAGTAATCCTAACAATAGCAGAATGTTTTTGCAAGCTTTCTTTTCTCTCTTTTAATATGAACAGTTGTAATCAAGTTGCTTGTTATCTCAGAAACAATGAGTCTTGCTTTATCTAGGGCAGAAAATGGCTTGTTAAGGCAATAATTCACCCAAAAAAGAAAATTCTGTCATTTCTCAATTTACAATCTCGTGTCATTCCAAACCTCTATGCTGTTATTTTCTCAATGTCCCTGCTTAAAAGCTTTCACCAGCCTAAACTGGTTTGCGGGTCTTTAGGTGGTCTTCTAGGCTGGTCTCTTGACTGATTTTAGATGGGTTTTAGGCACTTTTTTGAAGCTTAGACTGGTTTTGGTGTTTTCTTTTCAGTATGTGGAACACAAAAAGAAGGTTTTTCCCATACTTAGACAATTTACAGTGTCCACTGGTGTAAAAAAAAGTTAAAGTAGTTTAAAATACAATATCTGACGAGTTGGTTTTAACATCTTGTGACCAAATTTTGTTAAACCTGTGCCATAGACATCATATTTAATTTGAGACGAGCTATACAGTTTGACTTGAGAGTCAGTAATGACATAATTCCACTCTGTTCCACATATAAAAAGCTATCGTATGACTTCAAACGAGTCATATGGACCACTTTTGTGGTGCCTTTGTAGCTTAATATACTGGTCACTATGTACTTCCATTGAAAACATGAAGTCGGAAATTATTCTAAATGGTTCCACAGACAAAAATAAAAGCATACAACTTTGGAGCGACATGAAGCTGAGTAAATAATGGTCAAATTTTCACTTTTGAGTGAACTATTTCTTTAACAGTTAGGGAAGTATGACAGATTGACTCCATCCATTATAAAGCAACAGTACGTCTGCAGTGAATGGCGTAGTTTGACGTAGATGGAGCTTCAAGTAAGATGTACGGTAGTGCTCTCAGGTGCATGTTAGAGATTTATCACCACAGGTCATCCCACAGTCTCATCCAATAGAGTGCCCAGAGCGCTGGAGGAAGAGGAAGACAATGACACAAAAGACATTGTTGCCAGTAGCGAGACTGAGACTTTCTCTCCTCAAGAGCAAGGATCCATGCCTCTGGCCTCCACAGCCTGTGGAAATTGTAAAAGAGCACTATATAATTCACATTACTGCGGTATGTGCTGCAGGGACCAGTGATTCAAAGTGTCAGAGCTACCTCTCCATTTTATATGCTATGAGCGTGAATGAAGAGGCTGGGATTGTGTATAGAGATGGAGTGATGACAAAGCTAGCTAGGGTTGTCACATAAGCGATAGAGGTAGGAGTGATGGCCACCTCTGGGAGTTTTCTGATGGATAATGCCACCTCTGCAGCTCACTGCAGTAAGGTCATCTCGGGTGACAGCTAAAATATTCACAGCAACAAATAGGGACTCTTTCCATGACTGTGTGTCAGGTTTTCTGATTGCTAGCCTGTGCACGGGTCACCCTGCTCCCAGAGGGCACGTGGACTCCACTGACAGAGCCTTTCTTTGATATGAATTGTGATCAGAGAGCACTGCGGCAGGGACTGTACCTATGGAGACCTGCTGTAGAAATGGCCTCTGATCTGAAAATAGTAGGTTACACAAAAATAAAGGAGGTCAACTCAGACCCCAACGCTAAAGCCAAAGGGAAAATTCAGCCATTTAACTTGCTGTGTTAAAAAAAAAGAAAGAAAGGAAAGTGTACCACTGAGATAACTTCTTTGAGCTTCTGAATATGTTTTGTTTTTTGTTTGATGGGGGTTTGTTTGTTTTTGTTTTTATTCCTTTACCAGACATTTTTATCCAAAGCGACTTACAAATGATGAACAAACAATTCATATTTTGTTTTATTTTTGTCAGGTGGTGATGTTTAGAGATTCGCTTTTTGTCATCATTATTGATATTGTTTTACATATTAACTTTAATTTAATATTTTATAAAGTAATTTATTCAGTATATTTTTTCAACAGTAAGATAGAGGTAGGAGTGATGGCCACCTCTGGGAGTTTTCTGATGGATAATGCCACCTCTGCAGCTCACTGCAGTAAGGTCATCTCGGGTGACAGCTAAAATATTCACAGCAACAAATAGGGACTCTTTCCATGACTGTGTGTCAGGTTTTCTGATTGCTTGCCTGTGCACGGGTCACCCTGCTCCCAGAGGGCACGTG